TGAGCTGTGGTGCTGGAGAAGAGTGTTGAATATACCATGGACTGCTAGGAGAACAAACAGGTTTGTCCTGGAGAGGGTGAAGCCAGTTCTCTGGAGTCAAGGATTCTGAAGCTTCATCTGACATATATTGGGCATGTTGAAGGAGGGACTGGTCCTTGGAGAGGGACATCATGTTTGGCAGAGTGGAGGGGAGGTGAAGGAGAGGAAGACCTTTGATGAGATGGATTAATTCTGTTACTCGAGAGGTGGGAATAAGTGCATTTGAGATGGCTAGGTTGGCACAGGATAGAAGAGCGTTTAGAGCTCTTGTACATAGTGTTTCTATGAGTCGCAAGCAACTGCATGGCATATAACAACAACAACAACAACATGGAGAAGAGCTCAAACCTGTGACTCCTCCAATACCAGAAGGGACCTGAATGTTTGTCATCCTGACTAAAGGAAGCATGACCTCATCTGCTTTCAACTTTTGCCATTGGTTCAGCCAGCAACCTCTCAGTGTTCTTCCCAAACTAGTGCCAAGTGCAGAATCCAGCGGCGGGATCTGGACCTACAACATTGCCCTAGGCTAGCAGCTTATAAAACCAGAGAAGGTGACTTTCCAGCGGCTCTCCCCGGGGACTGTGCTCCCGGCTCGGGAGGACAAACCGCCTGAGAGCGCCTGCCCCGCGGGCACCCCCGTCACAGCGTCCCCGGGAGAGGGGAAGGCTTCGTGGGGAGCCTCAATGTGCTGGCCAGAGCCTGGCTGTGGAGCTGGAAAATGCCAAGCGACTGTTTCACCCGTGCTCCCTATCTCTCTCCTCGCGTTCCTTGGGGATCAGGGCACACGGGGTTGTGGTCCTTAGGGTTAGTTCTGTCCAAACTCCCATGTCCTTCAAGTCTCCAGGACGAGGGCGTGGGACTTGGGAAACGATCGGGGCAGCCAGCCTTGCCTTGCAAGCTAACCTGCCGTCTGTCTTCTGGTTTCCACAGGCCCGCCATGCAGCCAGCTTGCGGCTGCCCCCTGCTGCCCGCTCTCCTCATGCTGACTCTGGCCCACTTCTCTCGGAGTGTGCATGGGGCTTCCTGGTTGCCGAGGGCAGCAAGTGAGAAGCACCGGGAGTCAGAGCCTTCCTGGGACCAGCGCACGGTTGTAGACCTCGCCAGCGTGGGCCCAGCAACTCAGGCAGTCCTGGCGCTCCGCTCAGCGCGCAGCGCAGGTGAGTGCCAGCCAGCCTCAGATGGCTATCTTAAATCCTCCTGGAAGCCCGAGTTGCACAATTCCAGGTTCTCCTGAACAGATATAATGGATGTGCTAAATGTAACCGCTGTCGTAAGACTTTAAAGCCAACCCAAATCTCCATTTAATAAATAAAAAACTGATTTAGTTCATTCAGCATAATGCTCTCCAGTCTCTCCCAAGTTTAGTGTTTTTAAAATCGTTGCTTCTGAGTGCTGCGTAGTATTCTATCGTGTGTATGTACAAGAGTTTCTCAATTCATTTGATTGTGTTTGAACATTTGGACTGTTTCCCTGTTTTGCAATTGTGAATAATGCTGCTATGAACATTGGTGTACAAATTTCCTTTTGTTTCAGTTATAATTTTCTTTTTTCTCCTTTTTAAAAAAATAGATATTTTAATGAAAGTTTACAGAAAACTGAAGGACAAATACTGCATAAGACTATTATTGTAGAAATAGAAGATAACGAGTAAAATGTGTATGAGAATCTAAGGGTGGGGGTGAGAATAGAAGGGTGAGGATGGGCAGGGGAGAAATCAAAGAATCGCACAATTTGATGGGTAGAGGGAGGGGGAGTATAAATGAAATGGGAAAGACCCAGCAGAGATCTGAAAGGTAAGGGTAATTGTGGGCATAGTTCAATGGTGATTCATATTATAAAACACAATATATGGGAATGATTGTATCAAACACAATGTGAGAGAAGAATAGAAGAATAATGTAAAACACTATGTATACAAACTTTCTAAGCAAATCAATATAAAATATTTTTTAAAAATAAAAAGGTACACTTGATAAAAAAACAACAACAAAAAAACCCAAAAAACAAACTGGGAAGAACAAACCCACTGCCATCAAATAGATTTAGGGTAAACAAATACAGTCCAAGTAGCATTTCCTGTGAGATCTCCAAGGCTTACTACTTTAGGAGTTGGGCTTCTAACCCAAAGGCCACAGCCTACAAGACAGAAAGAATGGCAACTTCCTCCCATGCTAGTGGATTCCAACCTGGTATTGTTGTGTACTGTCAAGTCGGAACAGACCATAACTGACCGTCCAGCGAGTTTTCAGATGCATGAGAGATTGCCCATCCTTCTGCCGGAGAACAAACGCACCTTCCTGATTGCAGCACAGCTTCTTGCCACTAAACCACTAGATCTTGATTTGTTTGTTTGTTTTAACCATTTGGTTTTTTCCCCCCTTTCTTTCTTTCATCTTTCAACCATAGCACCCAAAGTAACACTCCAATTTTTCCACGTTTTGAAGTTTCTTTGGAAGAAGTCTGGTAGAGCAACAGAAAGAGCTGGTTTGGAAAACCAACCTGGAAAAGTTATTGGACAAATAATGTCTCTATCCATTAACATCTTGTTCTATATATCCTCGGGGTTTGAAAAGAAGACAAAAACATAGAATTTAGAAAACCTGTTTCCTATACACAGTGGTTCATTTCTTTGCATTAAAGTTGTTCAACTGTGGCACCACCTTTAGAAACTCCAGCCTCAGTTTGAGAGCCCAAATATTGGAGTGCTGCCCTGTGAGAAGCCTGTCAGCTTCTGCTTCCTGGTTCATATGTCTTTGGAAGAAGCATGCTAATTCTCTTATTCTACTAATGCTATGTATGCCAGGGCTCCCAACTCCACTATAAGCCTCCTTCTGGAAGGCACTCAGTGACTTGCTCCATGGGTCAGTTCATAGGCCACCTTGTGCTGTCTCTGTCTCTGCACACTGGTCTACTGCTTCCCAGCATCTGCCATCTCAGCTGTCAAAATTCTCTCTTCTAAGCCCTCACCAGAATCACCTGTGATTCCTGTAACTTTACCAATAGTCCCTCTCAGGTAATCTACTAATCACCTTCAGACTCTTCCAGTTCCTGCCCATTCCCCAACTCAAAACCATTTTAAGGTCTCAAAGAAGCAACCCATCTTCCAGGTACCAAATTATAATTTAGTTATCTACTGCTGCTATAATAGAAGTACCACAAGTGCAAGTGGGTAACTTTAACTACTAAACTTACTCTTTCACAGTTTAAGAGGCTAGAAGTCTGACTTCAAGGTGCCAGCTCTAGAAGACTTTCTCTTTTTGTTGGTTCTGGAGGAAGAACCTTGTCTTTCTTTGGTATCTATAGGCCAGATACCTTTTGGTATCTGTATTCTGTAGATGGAGACCGTGTCTTGGTGTCTGCCTTTTTCTGCAACTAAACTGTGAGGACCTTGGATCCATAGGATATGCTTAGATGGTGGCTCTTCTTTCTTGGTGGTATTGAGATTTCCATTCACAGAGTTTTACTGACTAATGTTTGAACTTGAAGCAGGCTGCTTTGAGCTAACATGATCCTTCCTAGGTCATTTAGCTAAAACTATTTCCAGTGACTCTGTGAGGTAGAGATTACTGACTACTTAGATGCCCAAGTGGAGGAAGAGCAAGAAAGCAGGAGAAAATGGAGCCACCATTGAGGCATTAGATCTCAACATTGTTCCACCTATCACCCCCAAAGCAGAGGTATCCTGTGAGTGAGGAGCAACCTGGGAATAACCAGGCCAAGGCAGCTCTGAGAGACAGTTGGGCTTTGGCTGGGGAATACTGGAGACATACAAGCAGAGAAGGAAAGACGAGTATATGCTAACAGTAGAGTGAAGTGGGGCTGCAGGCCAAAGTGAGAGCAGAAGTCCCTTTGTCTGGAGTCCGACCTGCTGCACATGCTGGTCAGTGAGGGTGGAAATCCAGGGTCAGGATGTAACAGAAGGCCTGGCAGGCTCAGTGTGACCCTCATATGGCTGTTCAAGTCACTGTGTCTCAGTTGTCACTTCTAAGAAAGTAAACAAGGATTTCCTAGTATTTTTCACAGAGTTGTGACATAAATACATATAAACTTGTTACTAAAAAAACTTATAAAATACTATTGTAAGAGTTTAAGAATGCTGTACTCAGGATTGCCATAGTGCCAGACAACTGTGTGTCTGTGGTCAGCGGTACATGTCCCAGGAGGTCTGGTGCAGAGGAAGAAGGGGATTCAGCAGACACAACTAAACCTCAGTGAGGACAGCCACAGGGGAAAGCTGAGGGCATGCTGGGCACCTCCCAGAAAGACTGCCTGGTTTGGGCTCTGACAGTCAGGAGTCGGAACAGGGCTTCCCTGTCCAGACCAGTAGTGCAGGACCCAGGGGCTGGCTTGCTAGAGAGGCCAACGCTGGTGTGGGTGGGAGTGGAATGACGGTGACAAGCTGATGATACAATTTGACTTAAAATTAGCGCAAATATTTATCTCAGAGAATGAAATCGTCCGTTTGGAATGTAAAAGAAATGGAAGGATGTCTCAAACTACAGAAACTTTTACAGTAACACATTAATTCATAACCTTTACTTCCTTTGGGCTTTATCTTTTATTTTTAAGTTAAAAGGCAGTAGCGACTGGCAGACATGAGTTATAAGGGCTAGAATAGGCTGTTTTATTAAAACCTTAAAAGTGATAAGAATTCCAGAGTTTGAAAACAAATGCAACACCTGTTGAGCAGAATGACTGAACTTCATCTGGGGTCACACTCAAAGTCTATTGTTTCTTTTAGGCAAAGGTCTCATCTTTCAAAGTACTTATAGGGAGGCATGGTGCTTCACTACAGAAATGTGTGAGATTTGACTAGAATACAGGGACACAGAGGAGCAAAAGGGAATTTAAGAACAGAAAGTATGAGCAGAGGTCACTCTGACCCTTCTGGAATGTACTTTCTCTGATTTTTGTCCTTTGGAATGTTGGAATCTATCCTCCTAAGTCTTCTTCCTTTCTGATGTCTGTGAAACTAGTTCTCTACCTGTAATGTCTAAATTTTAAATTACCTTTGAAATACTTCTGCAGTTCAGATATGACATTTTCCTCCCATTATAAAAGAGATGGTGATATTGGATAAGGTTAGGACAAAGTTCAGAGCTATTTTTTATAGATTCACTATGTTGTTTTGTTGTTGTTGTTATGTGCCGTCGAGTCGCCTGCGACTCATAGCGACCCTATGTACAACAGTCCTAAACTCCACTCTGTCCTGTGCCAATCGCACTGTCTCTGACACTCCCATCCCAATGATCCCAGTCACTGAATCAATCCACCTCATAGAGGGCCT